GACGTAAAAATTCCCATAAGCGACGAATTCGAAATGGTGGCACAAACGTGAATCGACATAGAAAAGCCAAATAGCTGTCAGTAACCGCGCTATACTCAAAAGACCGACATGCAAACTGATCTTCTTTGGCTGATGCGATGTTGGTATTGGTCTTCATTGTCGTTGTCGTTGTTGTTGGTGTTGTTGGTCGATGGCTGACGTTTCGTCGATTTCGCATTCCTCAGAGTGGTGATGTTATGAGTGGGACTCGAGTGCGAGAACGAAGAACTTTGAATGACTCTGTCACCAGTGCGCTATACTCAGTTACTTCGATCCTTGGATGGTCCGTCTTCATTCGTTGTGCGGGCCACAGCATAATCTCCATTCTTCGGACTTTTCCTGGTCTAGTCATTGTGGTCCCTTGGGGTCCAGAGGTCACCCGTGCCAAAGTCTGCCGCAGTCCTTCACCACCACAGGCAGTCGCCGTCCTTGTGGATGCGAGGAAAATTTGCCGCCATGCGACTAGTTTGATACCAGGACGGTAGTGGATCCTGATACTATTCACCCTTATCTGGGCTTCCTGGTGGGAATTTTGGACTCCTTCTCCGCCTGGGAGATCCTGCTGAGATGATGGATCCCGCCGCTGTACATCGTAGCGCGACATCCAGGAACACCTAGCTACGATGAGGTAAGTCATTGTGAGGACTGCGCTATAAAGAAGCAAAAACTACTATTTCGCTGAACCCAGCAATATTTTGTCGTATTCGTCTAATCTGCGACCAAAATTCGAACCGAACTGCATTCTCAAAACATCTCGGCGCTTTGCGTCCCCACTATGATGTTAGCATCTCGGTTGCCTTCGTTCGATCAGCCTGCAACTACCGAATGCCGTTTCGTCCCCACACGTGACGACCCTCCGGGCTGAGCCCTGCCGTGACCAGGTCGGTGACGACCTTCGACTGAACCTCGGTCGAGACGCTGGCTGCGTGTCAATATGATGTCACGTTTTAACCATACGCATTAGTCGCTAAGTTTTGAAAGAAGAAGAAAAGGTTCAAAAAAAGCAAATAAAGAGACCAGAAGTAGAACAGAAACGAGATATTTCATGTCCGAAAAGCAACTGTTCATATCTAAATACACTGTTTCCACATTGGCTGCTAATCAATGTCTTCTTAACCTTAGTGGGAGATTTAGTAGAGCGTTGCGATAGTACTTGTCTACATGGGTCGTAGACATCAATTATAATTCCACCTTCTAACTTCACATACTGATTGTCAATTATTGAGGTGGAAAATATGTGGGAGAGCAGTAGAAGAGACGCGTAAGTGAGAAGAAAGAAAACTATTCTTTCTCTAGAAGAGGTCTTCTGCAGCTGTCAACCATAAAAGTTCTATTACTAATAGCTTGTTTCAAATTTCTGCATAGATGTCTATTGTGTACGAAAGCATAACTTTGAAGGCATAAAAAATGGAATCCACAAAGGACTTCGAGGCTCTATTTGCTTGGCCCACTGCTGCTTCATGATTTAGGGCATCACTAGTTGATATATGGGTTTCCAAATAACTCGATGAGACGAAGGAAGGCCGGGATTACCGTGTCTTCTTACTTTGGAAGCCTCTCGAATACGAAAATAAGGACCAATAAAAGATAAAGTTCATTCAACACATTGCGATGTTGGGTAAAATTTCTGCTATTTCTTGTGAGTATTACACAACTTTGAAGATGTGTGGTTGACCTTGTCTACATAAGAAGCACATCCCGTTGAATGAGCTACGAATTATTCAGGAGCAAGAAGTTTTTAGTGAGACCTACAGTTTCGCCAAACCGTAGAAAGAACGGGCAAACAGAATGAAAAAAAATCCATAGGTTGAACACCAAACAGGAGAAACAGATGTCACGCACTTCAAGGGCAGTCATTGGAGGAGAACAATGGCAAACGACAGTTCCACGCTACATCAAAGAACAACCATTTGCAGAGTAGGGTCAAAGTATGCCTTTCGTAAGTGCAAGTTTCGCAAGAGTACTGAAGTGCTGCACATTTCGTTCTTATAGGAAATTCTATGGAGTTGTCAGTATGATATCGAATAGGTAGAAAATGTAATTCATGAAAAACACCAGATGTGAAGGGAAAGTGAAGATGAATATGGACGTATTCCGATTCCAGAGACAACATAATACATAAAATTAAGAGTTAAACGAACATTAAGAACCATTCTAACAAGTCCTCCATGAGGGCATTTTTCCCACAACAGGCGATAGTTGCTCATTCAATAGAGATCCGAAGGTTTTAATAGCTTTATAAACTGATACAAGAGATCTGTCGCCTCAAACGAATACATTTCTTTAGGACTATTCTTTAAATTTTAGAGGGTTCCAGAACTAAACTTTACGACGAGATGACAGCGATAAATTTTCAAAACCCCCATCTCAAGTGTGGCGACCGGAAACATCAGCGAAGTATGCAGAACCGTGTCGTGTCTTGATGGATGAAATTCAGCTCGTTCAAGTGCTTTCGTATTTGAAATACGAGCATCGACGAAGAAAAGCGGAATCTGTCGCATTGGCATAGGAGACCTTTTGTTTTGTCGGCAAAGATCTCTAGATTGTAACGGTCTTTATTTCAAGTCACAGAGTTCACTATGAGCATACATTGGTTTAGGTTGACTTCAAGTCGAAAGCAGCCACTCTTTTCAGATTGCGTGTTTCGAAATTAATGCGCATAGCCACGAATGTGTTAACGAGAGGCTTTTTCAGTGGAACACAAGCACTGTGTTATTCTGAAGTCATCAAAATGGACAGCTAAAATCAAAAAATAAATAACAAACGGTCTGATGATGCTAATACTTTAAGGACTTCTTGAACACCTTCAGCTCTTACTTGTTGCTTAGGAAACACACTACTTGTATCACTTATCCCAACACTATGACACCCGAACATGTGAAGAAGCGGCCGGAAATCCTGTCCAGGCAATACCTTTGCCTACACGAGCTCTATGAATGAGCTAATGGATTACTGGGAAACCGCGGACACGTTAGTATTGATGAACAGATACTTAATAACAAGTACTCCCCACTGTGTTCAAGCTTATCTAGTAGCGATTGATGTAACATGGATTTTACAGTGAAGAACGAATTATTATCAACAGACAATCAATATCATGGAGAACCGTCCTGTAAAAGGACACCGCAAAGGGCGGTTACATCACTCAAGCGGTGTTCGATCCACTGTATCTGACTCGATGCAACTGCGAAGACCGAAATCGCAAAGACAAAGGATTACGGACCATCCACTCCGAGCTCTGAAAAAGACGAAAACTTCGGCAGCTTAGCAGGATTAACCTCCTGTTTGTTTGTTAATGAAGGAAGTACACATTGGTCTGTGGTTGACACTAATTAAAGCTATGTTTACTAGGCAGGAATTTGTTTCCGCTTCTCAACCATTGTATAATTTTACTTGATAGTGTAAATATCATGAGCAAAGGGCAGATGCAGAGCCGAAGGGAGCGGAGGAAACGGCTGGTTCAGGGAACGTACAAAGCAATCATGATACAGTTGAGAAATAAGAGAAAAACCCGCTCGATGTTCCACTTCTCCAGTCCATAGTTCCTCTCGCTCTAACGTGTTTTCTAAAACCTGGATATTCCATAAGCTACTATAAATGAAGGCCGTAGACCATTACTGAATGCGCTCTGGGAACGGTAATGCAGGCGATTTCCGTCGAACATCGTCACTGAGATGAAGATTCATTCTCAACTAAGATGCTCACAGAGGGACTTGCCACCTAGAACCCTTGAACCCCACCCCCTTGAACCTTCACCTTTGGCTACCTAAAGAATCTATAAAAATTGATGAATTCTTCACGCTAACCGCAACACGACACCTTTTATTCACATGAAAACAAAAACGAAACAGTAGGTTAGTAAAATGTACCCCGCCGTCAAATGTATATACATCATAGAAAAAAAACTATCTGAGACCTACAAAACCACGAAAAGTCACATCACACTTGACCAAATTTGACATTCACAGGAAAAATACGATATAACCTATTTATCGTTAAAAAATCGAACGAAAGCTACCCTTCACAGCAAATTAGGATTTGCGACAGTATCAGTGACGGGAAACGGGTGTTTCACCGGAATAAAAATTAGTTACATGGAATCCGCCTACATAACTAAAGTGGCCATTCACGACCACTGTCTAAAAATTTCGAGTATTTCAAATTCCAGAAGAAAGAAGACCAAATAAGTTGATATTACCATGTAGAAGAAAAACCGAATTCTAGTGCACTGTAGGCAGAGGTGAATAAACTATACAACAATATGTAGGAGAAATGTCTTCTATCTAGGTACAAGAACCTAGAATGGATTATTTACACGACGATACACGTTGCTCGCAGCAGGTACTCACCATATCAGCTTAAATTTTCGTTGCTTTGTCCATTACTATTATCATTATTAAGAATATTTCTCATTCAGACTAATGGCATCTTCCCATTGTTCAACGGAACAAAACTCTACAACTGCTTCTATCACCTCTTGCTATAGAGAAATAAATTGGGACCACCCAGTTGGGTTCCGCTTTCATACCATTGTTCTTAAATAATATGAACGTGATATAGAAGCACAACAAGGAAATCAATGAATGATCGCCAAGACCTTGAATTAGAAATATGCTTGCCATATGGGATTTACGACTTTCTCAAAGCGAGAGACAAATAGCTTCCTTAAGTGATTAGATCAACCGCCTTACGAGATTTGTTGACAACATCAACCATAATTAAATAAATTCAAATTTAAAACCCCTTAGTATCGAAACTCTGAGATGACCAAAGGTTCTATCACATGTATATAATAAATTACGACCTGCTCAGATAGGACTAGGCAATAATTAACTACGTTAATTGGAACATTTTCCACACCTACAAGTGCTATCTAGATGGTCCAGAAGAGTATTTACAGCTTAGACATATACAATTACCCCAACTGGAATAAATACAATGAAAGAAGGCTAGAAAAAAGTTCAAACACTTGGAAGATGTGTCATCGATGAACATTGTGTCGATGACGGAGTCGGACTCACACTGTTACAGCAAATTTCACACTCATCTATCAGCTGCAACAGCTCTTGTGGTGATGGGCCACTTAAACTCTGAAAAAAAAAGAGGATTGATCTCAGAATATCACTGGGTCAGTCTTCGCCTTCACTTCTAGGAAGACAAATCACATGCGTTCATGTTGCAAGATCACAACAAATAGCTTACTTGTACCGAGGTACTCGACAATTTTACATTACTGGAAGACGTCTTCACTGAATCCAAGCTGCTAGGAGACTGAGCACTGGCTAGTGATAACTGACGTGCGGCTGTGTACTGATCGAGTGCTGTCGTTAAATCCCACATCTGTGATTACAGTTACACTCCCAGAGATCTTAATCACTAACCAATAACAGACGAATTCACCGCAGACAAACAACTCACCTGAACACTTCCACTAGTGGTGCCGCAGAACAAAAAGCGTCGAGGACGACTACCTATCCTACTTGAACCTTCACATTCGTGAACGGTAAAAGAGGATATAGCTGAGCCATCTACAGAACGAATTGTACAAATCCTGAATAACAACACTGGCATTTATTCATGAATTATAAAGTGAATGGTTCTCTAAATACAGACCTTTCGCCTGTAGAAGCTAGCCGAATATATAGCTGATTTGTATTAGGAACAACACGTTGCACAAACACCTGGTCACCGTCTTGATCCCCGTATGGGCCTAGAAGGTAATAATCGCGTTTTCCGTTTTTCACGATATTCCCTGGATCCACGATTTGAAACAATGGTAAGAAACAGGTCACCTGGATCAGCATGCTCAACATCTACAGAATCATCCGCAGAATCCAGTGTAAGCACTTTAAAAGACGCTAGGCTTGTGCTACCTGGTTGTGTGCTAATCATTCCACGGAAACGTGTTACTATCCAAGATCGTACATGGTTGTATTCAGAACAAACTGCAATTTACGGCAATTGCACTGCTTTAAACCACGAAAAGAATCTAAGGACATAAATCTAACCACTTATTAGATGATTAGTACTGAGGGTGACACGGGTCACAGGAGAATTGTGAACAGTATAAGTCTGAAATAGTTGCGGGCCATGACCAACTGTCTCCGGATGTTGAACGATTACTCGAACTGCACCAGTTGACGTACCATATGCAATTTCAATCCAGTTCCCGCAAACATCTAAGTGGGTAGTAGATTGAGATGGGAAATGACGAAGAAGATTGTTTACACTGTGCTCTACAAGGAGATAAAAAGTAGAAGTTCATATACTTGTCTTCGGTGTCAAATACACGCTAATTGATGTAATTCCATCGCCATTCGGATCTTTGTAGAGTTCTGTGACCAGAAGATCGTTATCTTTCATCCTTAAACAAAAAGATATACACTAATGTATTCCAAAAACTAGCAGAATTAAAGGAAACGGTGAAAAGATGAACCACAAACTTAACCTCAAGGGGAATTTCTGCATATCTATGTAATACATGGATCCATTAGTGCATCCCAACAGTAATGAGGATGCAGCTGTATCGTAACATGATATGGCAATTACATCTAGAAACATTTACATTACATATAGATAAAAGGATAAGGATGAAATTCTTGGCGTTGATCAATCCCTCAGAGGTGCGCCTTGCATTCAACTTCATTAAGCATCGTTTAGAGGTAACTGAATGCATATCTGGCCTTCACAATGATTAGTGGTCACCTACCGATGTATCGTGCCGGTGCTGCTATCTTCCTAGACAAGTCTGGCACGAATTTACCGAGCCCGAAGGGATGGAGAACTTGGTAGGCCTGGAGCGCAGGGATTGATCCCCATATGTATTGCAGGGCTCCTCCGACCACTGCCCACCCCATACGCGCCTTTTTTACACGTTGATATCTCTAGAATCCCTAAGTAATCCTTTCCATTCACATCCTTTTGTAGAACTCCATCTAGTTAAGCCTGGTTAAATAACGATCTCACCTTGCACCTGCCAGTTATGCGTCATTGAGTGCCATATCCCAACTTTCCCTGTGCGGCTTAGAGCAACCATTTGACTGCCAATGAAAAACAAATTATCCACGTTTACAGATAGCGAAAAAGTACCTGAAGATCTGATTCCAAAAACTGTCATTGGCTACTAAGCCAAGGTTCTGTAAGGAGAAACTGACCGATTTTCACCGTACTGTCATCTTCAAGTGCCCATAGCAATATATTATTATTCGCCAACGCTACAGCCACCATCCGATCAGTATTCTGAATTGGAAGAATGGATTCCAAATCCATCATTATATTACCACACATAGCATACCTGTGGTCCAAATTTTGTATTGAGAGCTACATGCCTAATCAGTGACTCCATAGGCGGAGTTCTGTAGACACTTTGCCATCCTAGTGATTCTTTCATGCTAAACAATACGACGAATGACGTTACTTTCATCATTGTCATTATGATTATTATGCAAGAAAACAAGCTTTAAAGGATTCAAACTGATTATTTTGTCTTAAATCGAGTTACGCTTACCGATAGACACATGCATAGTAGGCATACGCAACAATAATTGAATTATGATGAGCCCTGATTATTCGCACACGCAGTGGATCCACCTTATCCTCGGACTGACAGCGTGCTTGGTGTTTCAGTTGAGATAGTTCACTGTGGATCTAGAAAATAACCCCACCTAGAAAAGAAAACACCTTCGATATAAGAACATAAAAAGCAAGATCAAATGGACTTTCATTATTGAGTATATATCTTTCCCAATAAAGAAGAAGAAAAAAAGAGTCGCCATTATGAGATTTGTCTTATCATGTTGTTTCGGAAGAGTGCACTGCAGTGATTGAACACTGTGATTTTAAAGAGTATAAAAAGAATTGGCAGCAAATAAAGTAACGATATTGTGATTTATATCGCAGCTTCAGCTTAACTGGGTTCAATGCCGATTTTTGCTCACCAGATTAATCCCACTGCCAGTTGATTGCTCATAGAACATATAGGTCAATAATACGGCTGACAGAAAGGCGAAACGAAGGACTCGCAAGGTGTGGTGGTGAACGCGTTAGTCCCCACAAAGGATAGTAGTGTGTTCGGTCCCTAGCACAGACAACTACGGCCCGGAGTTTTGCAAATATCTCAGCATCATTGTAGTGTAATTTTGGATTATATTTCCATAAACTCAAAACAGTCAAACTTTAATGGATTTCATTCACTGCTGAGAAAACCACTCACATATTTGGCAAGCTCGTATGAACTTTTCTTATAGTGTCCGTAGATTCGTGGCGTGCTATGACCACTACCATGTCTCGAACACCACCCTTCAGTGCGCTCGCGAACGAGGGATTCCGGTGGCACCGCTACATTCTTAGCAAGGCATTTGCATGTTGTTGTGACGTTATCCACGAAAGACTTCACTGAGTATTATTGTTGATAAACTACAGTCCATTATTCTTCTGCTCTTTTTTGTTTTCTTTTTTCCTCGTTTCTTTTTCATCCCGCTCATTCGAGGGATTACAAAAATTGCTAAATACTCATCATTGCTCCAGTGCACGGAAGCCTTTAGTAAAAGACTCCAGTGCATTTACCCGAGAAAATCTTTTGTCTTTTACTAAAGATTTCCGTCCAATGGAGCAATGAGTATTTACACATTTTTGCATCTCCTCGAAAGAGCGGGACATAGCCAATTACTCTTTATGCGATAGTTCTCCAAACACCGATACCTTCTTAATCGGAATTGTGAAACTACGATCCACCTATTTGTTAAACGTTGCGATTAACTTTGAATATCGTTTCATACCTGTAGATGACGAGTGAAATTCCCTTTCAGTAAACGGAACTGGTTCTTCAGCCTATAAACCGTAGGTTCACACTCAAGCAGTCAATATTGATAGAAAAATTCATTAAAATTTAAAAATGGTACCAAGTAGGACTAGATATAGAAATCTCAACCTTTCGTCCAACTTCCAAATTTTCCAATGGTAAACATGGAGCTGTTATCATCGCATGGAAAAGTACTGAACCACATGACGAGACGTTCAGTTCTTCACAGAGTGTTAACCGATGAACTAACGGAGTAAGTCCAAAGTACTGAGCCTCGTGCTTAAGGGTGCTCGGTGTGACGTTACTAAAGCGATGAAGAACAACCGTGCATTGCAGTAAGTGATTGTGCTAGCCAATCTATCTTTTCAATGATTGCCTTGTGGAAAAAAATCTCAAACATCCGTTTCAGACGAAGTCAAGAATTTCCACAATCGATTTTCTACTAAACTCGGCAATGATTAAATAATTTTTGATATTCTTGATGAACAAACACGATACTTTACTTTATTCCTTATTCTGCTAAAGCTGACGTTTTGGCAGTATCCGCTTCCTCACAGCCGTTTTCTTCACAGCAGGGCATGCACGCACCTCAAGTCTACTTGTGGAGGAGACGTAAAAAAACGGCTTTGAAGAAGGCGATACTGCCGAAACGGCAGCTTTAATAGAGTAAAGAATAAAGTAATCCCTCGTGTTTGCTTGCAAAATCAAGAATATTTCTATGGAGACGAAAAAGCGTTCCCTAAAGATACACGTACTTCAGGTCTACTTGCTTTGTGCGCAGATAATTCAGGATGATGCGGAAGATCTCAGGATCTCGATCGATGAAAATCGCACCGCTGTCATCACGCACCGTCAGAATACGACCGCTCAGAAGACTGGAAATTCGTAAAAGGTTATATCACCATCAAATGATGAAGACCTGCAAGTTCAAAAGAAAAACTTTTTCTTTGCACTTGAAGAGTCATATTTCCTTATGATATGTGCGTTTTCCGTAGTTATCAATCTCCCTTGCACATTTTCTAGTGTTTTCAAACTTTCATAGATTCGAGAGGACTTCTTAAACCGCCCAAGTGGTCGGTGAGGACCACAAAATATCGCGCGAATGTATTTAACCCTTCGGCAATTGCTATTCCTAAAGGTTACGGAAGGAAGACTGATAAATAGCTATGGCTATTTTAATGCAGAATAAGAACGCTGTACAAAGGTAGTCCACCTAGTGAAGAAGGAGTCCGGAATCCAAGTCAACGTGTGAGAGCTTGTAGCAAACCGCTGCCCACCAACATTCAGATAGATTATCTGTTCAGGAACGTCGGAGGCCCGAGCCATTCCCACAGCAGCGAAAGTAAGTTTGAAGAGCCTCCTTCCTAAATACAACGTTTAAGTCAACTAAGCTGAAAGTAGCTTATGCAGATGCCAATTTTCTAGGGCAACAGCAGAAAATATTTTGCATTTTTTCGCGGTAAAAAGTGACAGGAAAGTGTTAGGAACAGTGCTGATCGCACAAAATGAGTTACGGCTGTTCTAAAGCTACTTAAAACACCAGTTTTATTCTGATATCAGGTGATAAAATCTGTGGTAACGATGAATTCCATGGATATAAAAGACACTCTTCCAATAATGTTAAAAATTCAGTGGCGTAATCAAGCTGGATTCGATAGTTTTTTTGGGCGGTACAGCACTTAGTCCACCTAGAGGGCCATGGAGATCTATGACTTGAGAAATAAAGTAAATTTACGAAGACATGACAAGAATAAAACATGAATATTTCTACAGTTTCTCCAAGGACGCGTGTAGCGCAGTGGTCGAACGCGCAACACACACGAGGAATCGGTCCACGCGCCCACGGCACTGGCTCGATACATCGGTAGGCCACCGCGAGCCATTGTAGAGGCCAGATTTGCAATCAATCATCTCCAAACGATGCCTAATGAAGTCGAATGCATGGCGCATCCCTCAGGGATTGATCAACACCGAAGGCTTCATTCTTTATTTTATGACAAGAACGCCTCTTTAAAATTAGCAAAAAGAATCAGAAAATCCACGAAATCCACTAAAGACCTCTCATATTTCGTGTCTTTTACACGCGACTCTTTGCATTTCTCTACTATGTAAAATTATGTTACGTTATTATAATATTTACGATGCATCTTGCTCCCAACGGTTTACCGCCTCATCGTGGCTAGGAGGTGTTTCTTCTTGCCTTGTTGCGCTGTACAGCGGAGGATTCATCCCGCTGGTGGGGCCTCCCAAGCTGACAAGTACTTCAGCGTCTCCATCACCAAACCCAGCTAAGAGTAAACCAATACCAGGATCCACCACCGTCCTGGTACCAAACTAGTTGCGTGGTGGTAAATCTCCTTCTGATCCATAAGGGCGGCGACTGCCTGTGTTGGTGACGACCCGGGGGAGACTTTGGCCAGGCTGACCTCAGGACGCTAGAGAACGACAATGGCTAAACCAGCAAGTCTCCAGAGGACGGGAATTATGCTGGAACCCGCATAACCAGTGAAGACGGGCCACCCAAGTACCAAAGTAAGTATGATGCATCCTTTAAATTTTACATTGTTTTCGAGCTGAACAATGGCAAATGATTGAAATCCATGATATTGAGTGTGCTAAATAACAAAAAACTAAATCACAGATATGAAACATCACAGATATGAAACATCACACAATAACTGAACGACAAAGACTCGACTGGAATTCTCCTCCAACACATCTACATTTATGGCGTAGTAAAAAGCACAGTGTTAGTTCGAGTGCAATTACGGACACCGTTTCGAATACGACTGCAGAACGGAACGAGACGCAGTTCCACTCGGGAACATATGGGAGCGAAGGAAAGACGAAGCTGCAAGAGCATGTGGAGCAGCGCGTCCCCATATCGCATTCAAACCTTCCACTGTAATCCCATTTGATCTCACGTGGACGAAGAGCTCGTTTCTCCGGACAATCGTGCGCCTTGCTGAGGGTTTTGGTTTAGCCGGTGTGTTGATGATATGACAAGGTTCTTTTACCAGTTGCATACAAAATGAGCTAGCTATCTCTATAAGTGGTGGAGATGTTTGTCACCTTATGAGTAGCTTTCTTCCAACAAGATGACGACGGTTACTGATACTATAGTTGTGACTGGATTGACTTCAGTGCTTCGCTTTCATCGGTCAGTTCAGATTCAACCTCAGCAAAGTGGCGTTATCCTTACTTTATTAGTCTCTTTCATCTTACACTGATAGTTCATGAAGAACACAACAACTTCGTTCGCGTCATGTGACGACGATGCTCCCACTATTACTAGCTGTCATTCTTTGTCTTTCTTTTTCCTTCTGTTTGGATCCTAACTAGTTTAGCAACCTTATCTATCTTTAGAAGGTATTAAATGCGCTTTAACTTTACTCCTCTTTAGCTTTAGAGCTTTATCTATAGCTTTGGAAGTCTAGAGCTTTTATCTTTATTGTTTGGATCCTAGCTCGTTTAGCAATTTCGTCTTTGGAAGACTTTAGATGCGCTTTAACTTTACTCTCCACACACTCCTGATCGTTGCCACGATTTCTGCCGTTCGATTTCTCTTTAAGCCTTTCCAAATCGCGGTTTTCTTTTCGCTTTGCGTCTTTATCGAACATGTTTGGTTGTAAGTGCCCATTTAGTGTCTTGTTAGCTTGGAGACGTTCTCATGTTTTCTCGCCATACGGCACTGAGACGAGTGTTCTCGAGTGTGAAAAGTTCTCAGGTACTAGAATATTTGCTTTCCTGTTATTTCAGCTATTCTTCCTTATACCTTGCTTCACCTCAACGCAACATTATGATGACCGTGTGTAGCGTGTGCGACTGTAAAACAGTCCAGGAACTTATCCTCAAAAGGCTCACCCACCTGTGGAATCTAACATTTCTGTCCGAAAATCCGATCAAAGAATAAGCCTATACAAGAGATCGCCACTTCCGAAGAAAAAGAACATCTAGTCGTAATGTGGCAGACCTCGCTCGGATTCATGATGATCGGCGACCACCTCCTGCTTTGACGGGCTGGGAACACCCTTGCTCGGGCTACTTGAGACTCCAGTAAATGGGCCTTCCCATCCAGAAAATAGTAATAAAGGGCAAATTGTGTTGGCTCACCTACCCATACAAAACAGGTCATCCATGAATTCAAGTAAGTCTGTTGGTCAACTCGAGTGACTTTTTTTCTATCGCCCGTGGATGCATCGGTGAGGCTCTCCGAGGATTTTGGGGTTCCTCCTCGGCCATGGGTTTGGCCCCGAATGCTCGGGGTACCCTGCGATGCTGGGACTGCGCTCGGAAGAAGTCCTTCTCTGATTACACTTCACAACAAAAATTACTAAAAATTTTAGGCTTGCTGTTCGTCAACGGCTAAATTTAATGGGATTATTCCTACTGAAGCTGTAGAAAAACGATATATGCTTAGTAGTGGCCCTGGCGGTCAAAATGTTCAGAAGAATGCGACCAAGGTAAATACTGGGTGGAAGGTTTTTTTCATACATGACATATTTTGCTCTCTCGTTAGTACGTGAGACACCATACCGATGTAGGCAACTGGTTTTGCAGGTTGAGATAAGGTTTAACTTGAGGAATGCTTATTGGTTATCAGATGCACTTAAAGACGGCCTTGAGAAGCGACTGGGTAATCGAATAAACGCGAAAGGAGAGGTGAGATTTCTTCAATATTTTTACTTGATAGTTTCTAACCATAGTAGATTTTAGTTTTCATATGATAACTGGATGGGCGCGTGTGACTACGTGGTCGGAGGTGTTCTGCAATAGATATGGGGTCGATTCCCGCTTCCCAGGCCCACCAAGCCCTCCATCTCTCTGGGCTCGGCAAATTGATACCAAACTTGTCTGGAAGGATAGCAGCACTGGCTCGACACATCGTTAGGCCACCGCTAGTCACTGTAAAGGCCAGATATGCATCCAGTCACCTCCAAACGATGCTTAATGAAGTCGGGTGAATAGTGTCAGTGCATCCCTAGTGGATTGATCAATTCCAAGAGCTTTATCATTTTTTTTGTTCTTCTAACTGGAGAATTTAATGATAGTGAGGACTTAGCTTGGATGTGTTGACGTTGTTGTGTACATATTTTTAATAGGTAGTGGTCATAGTAGCCTAGTAATTGGAAAACATTGGGAGTCACAGCTTACAGCTCATTATCGAGAGTGATCGCACTCGAGAACGGCATCTGAATCTTGCTGATTGCTTTGACAAGCTCCGTTCTACCATCTATGATGTGGAAAGGAACATGAATTCGCGTGTACAAACCGAAGAAGACGCAGCGATTATTCGGCAGGTGCGTACAGTTTTTTTTCACACATTTTTTGCTAGTATTTCAATGTGCGGTTTGAAGGCTCACTGGTTGGAGGAGCCCTGCAATTACACAAAAGATCGATCTCCGCGCCCATGGCTGACCACGCCCTCCATCCCTCCGAGATCGGCAAATTGGTACCAGATTTGTCTGGGAGAATAGCAGAACTTGCTCGATATAGCGTTAGGCCACCACGAGTCAATGTATCAGTCAGATATGCATTCAATCACCTCCAACGATAATGAAGTCGAACGCATGGTGCATCCCTCAGGGATTGGTCAAGGCCCAGAGCTTTGGAGCTATATCTCAATGTAGTGAGCTATGTGTGAGACAGATTCAAAACGTTTTGAACATTACAAAGACCTCTAAGGCATTAGCTATTTGTTGACCACATAAATGTGGTTCTTCATGCTTTATGAAGAGATCAGACCTTTCCTAAGTGGCTGCTGTTATGGAATTTGAATGAATTGTTTCCTAGAAATACTTGAGGAATAGACTACTCATGGCATTCTCTTCATATCGTTATCGAAAACTGTACTGAACATGATATTTTGGGTTTTCTTGTGGTCTTATTTACGTGTTATCAGGAAACTTTATTTCTCAAACTCGGTCTACTCAGCCAATGCGTCGAATTTCATGTAGTTTGGTAAAATCCCTCGCATTATATCGTATTTTATCGACGTTGGTTAAGAAAAACACGCGTATTTGTTAACCTTTTATTTTCTGCCCACTATAATTTTTTACGGCGGGGTATGATGTGGAACACAATCACAACGACGCTGGGATATTCGCAAAACTTGGATCCCAGGCCACATCGATCCACGATTACCCTTTCCGGGGTTTGCGTATTACACACTGCACCACTGAGGCCCGTGCTTTGCGTTTCTGTCCACTTGTTTTTGCAGTTCTACTCGTATTTGTTCCACTTATAGATAACTAGCATATAATTTGAGTTGAAATACTGCTACCATTGGCTGCATTTCGTAATTTTGTTAATGAATAAAGGCATTTATAGAGAGCAGAACTTTCTGCTCAACGGAGACTAGCAGAGAAGAGACGAGATGCACAGAACAGAAGGCTCAGAGCAGTTCGTATTTGAGAGGCGAATTTTTGCAGTAGGTACTATATCTTCGAGTTCTGTTGTTATAAAGTGATTGATTTTATTGTCAGGTACTATAAACTTGAATTATGTTTGTGTTGTGGTGTAATATGGTTCTGATCCATACTGTACCTTTCTTTCCTTCATCCAGTTGTTCTCGCTTGGCCGAACTCAGCCGTTGACATTTTCTTGCCCGCACCACGTCCTATATTGAATCTTCGAGTTACGGTTATTCTGGTGCAGTCACTAGGGTTATATTTGTAGTTACTCATCGTCGACTTCCTTTTTGCCAGTTCTATCTAGAATGCTAGTATTCGTCTCTACGGATCTGCGTTATGTGAGGGCTGTCCAGTGGGCTTCTGGTTAGGCTACATAATCCATCCATAGATGGCAAGAAGTCGTTTAAACATGAACCAAAACCGTACTTGATACTTCACTAACCTAACTTAAAGTCCCACGAGCAGCCTCAGAACCTAATTTGATTGCGATAAATTCTTGGTATAACGATGTAGAGTTGATGTAGAAATGCACAATTCAAGCAACAGCTTGTACTTATTGTATAATCTCCTCTGCCGGCTCCTCATACGAAGTCAAACGATGAGAAAACCGAGGAGACTGAATGTAATCTTAGGCTGCTATGGATGAGCAGAACAACACAATGAGGATGTAATATTGCGACATTCCTTCTATGCACTGATCACATCAGAATAGTATCCCCTCGCTGTCATAGAAGATCCAGCAGGTCTCACTAGATCTCACGTGGTCGTATTGCTAGTGACCATAATGAAAGATCTACTGACTTCAACCTAGTCATGTCTTGTATTTGGATAACTCCTGTTATATAACCACAATGATGCTGAGATATTTGCAATGCTCCGGACCGCAGATGTCTGCGGTGGGGGTCGAACGCGCTGTTACCCTTTCCGAGGACTAACATGTTCACTACCGTACCATAAGGGTCCTTCGTTTCGCCTTGGCCTCAGCCGTTTTATTGATGCTATTAGCAAGCACCCGTCGACAGAATTGATGAGGGAAGCACAAATCGGCATTGAACTCATTTAAGCTGAAGCTGTAGTATAAATCACAATGTAATCCCTTTTTATTTACTGCCTATTATTTTTTCACGGCAGTGTATGATCTGAGCTCCTGTTATGTCTGGGTGCTGTAGGTTTTTCCCACATATCTATCATATGTATTGCCTGCTATGTGAGTGCATTCGTGATGCAAGTTTCAAATGTAATAGTAATTGCTTGATAGTAATTTTGCGTTAGAGGGTACTCCTTGTTCATTCCATTCTGGAGACTTGATTATTAGACATTTGGTTGCCAGTTGGAGCAACTGATCACAGTTAGGTTTTTTAGTCAGTGGACTCGTTCGAGAAACAGTTTTTACATGTTTCTAAGTGCAGAGTAGAACTCTCTTAACTAACTCCCAACAAAAAAATGTGTACGACGATCTTTTTAACATTACTTATCAATAAACTTATCAAAAGAAACACTACACGTACGACAATCTCTCCATTGACTGTGAAAAGTATGGCGAAAAAGCTCTGGACAGCAAAAGAATCTAACAAAAAGCATGTGCGTCGAATTCTAGTAGGACGGTTTCCATCCATATTTTTCAATCTTTGTCCACCTTTGCTGTTTTTTTTTTTTTACTGTATCATCTAATTCTAAAGAATAACAGTATGGAGGGTCTCTTTGTTTCGGGTCATTTCGTCTAACTAGTTATACTTTTTTCTCTACATGACCCGAGATAGGCGCGTGTAGTGCAGTGGTTAGAGGCGCCCTGCAATGCACATGGGATCTATCCACCGCTCCAGGCTCACCAAGCCTTCCATCTTTCTGAGGTCGATAGATTGGTACTAGGCTTGTTTGGGAAGATAGCCACAGGGTAGCACTGGGTCGATACATCGGTAGGCCACCGCGAGTCAATATATAGGCCAGAAATGCATCCAAATCACCTTTAACGATGCTTGGTGAAATCGAGTGCGCGGCGCATCTCTCCTGGATTGATCAACGCCGAGAGCTTTATCCTTCTCCTTTATGACCCGAGATCGCATGTTGTGCTTATTCAAGCACTTCTTTCATCCGATTGGTTTCCTTGTCCTCATTATCCAAGGTGATCTTCGCATATGAGTTCGACTGCTGCTTGAGGGTTTTAATCCTCTTTACCAATGCCATTGAAGGTTAGTCAAGTCGGTTCTTACTGGTTCTCCGCCACGATTGAACATTTTCATCAGTTACGCAGGTTAATGAATAACAACAGCCCACACTGATCTTCCCATAATACATAGGTAGATGACAGGTGCTGGGTGAGATGATAAGATCTGTTGTGAGTCTACGTTATGGATAATGGATGAGTTCGTGTTAAAGACTACGTCGTATGCCGCCTATATGTCATGATAAGTGCTCTTCTACATAGAAAATAAAATTCCACTCGTTGGGTTGAGTACGATCTTCTTGGTATTGGCCTCGTGTAGAGCGTTCTGTTGGAATTTATTGTGATTTCTGGCTTCAAAGAAAGTGTGGCGAGGGGAATTCCAATATTTTCAAGGCATGGCAGGAATGTCTGAGTAAAGCGTCGCCAGCGTGATGTTTTGCACCGCAGCCAATGATTCCTTCCCAATCCATAGTTTGATTACTTCTCATCCGTGGTCACTTGATGAAATCGTAGACAAGAATTGCTGACGTGCAGGTATTGAGGCCGCTGAATTGCGAGGAGCGACCTTTCTCCTTGTAATCTCGAAATATCCATTCGTTATGAATCAAAGAGAGGTTTGTGACTGTGTCCAAGTTGTGTCCGCGGCGGTTGCTGGAATAAGTTTACTCCTTGCCACTGTACTGGGTGAAAACGTCGGACGTATAAGCTTACTTGGCTCTGCTGGCTAATACACGCTTTGCCTTTCATCAAAGTTTACCATCTATGAACATTCCGTTACCACTGTTAAGCTACAACCATGCAACCAGACGCATTATGGTCTCCGTTATCCGACAGTTACCCATTGTATTTCGTTGTCCTTCTTCAAATTGTGAGTTTTTCCGATGTACGGACTTCACACCAAAAGATACAATTCTTAACATCGATTCGCACCACATTACGGTACACTTTCAGTCCATCAATTTTTTTTTAGATAACTTGTTACGACGTAATTTGTGGTAACTATCCGATAACTAGGATGCGTGTAGCGGAATGGTCGGAGGTTCACTGCAATACACATGAGATCGATTTCCACGCTCCAGGACCACCAAAACTTCCTTTCCTCCTGGGGTCGGCAAAATGGTACCAGATTTGTCTGGGAGGATAGCAGCACTGGCTCGATACAACAGTAGGCCACTAAGAGTCATTGTAAAGGCCAGATGTGCATTCAGTCACCTCCAACGATGCTTGATGAAGTCGAATGCATGGCGCTTTTCCCACGGGTAGATCTAGATGGAGAGCTTTATCCTTTATTTTTACCCGACAATTGAAACTCATGTAAGACTGTGCGCCCGGTTTCCAACAATAACTGGAAGACTTATAAAGAATAAAACGGCTCTGAAGAAGACGAAAGCGCTAAAACGTTAGCCGTTAAGGAATAAAACTTGAAACTTGACATTAACAACCTTTTGTATGTGTAAGAAAAAAACACTAAGTTATAGTTATGTGGATGTTGAATTATTTTTTTATTTTATTCTATAAATCCGTCTTCACGTCTCTACTGTGCGATCCCAGCGCCTCGCACGTTGAATTCGTTCGCTTACATCCATTGTCTACGAAGAGCTTCTAACAGTTTTGGATGCTGCTTAAGGATTTTCATTTCATCTTAAATGTCGTGGAATGCTGGTCGAGCAATTTTCCCTGGAGTCCTGAGATAGCTGAACTAGAGCGTTCCCAATTGGATTGCAGAGAGTAATTTTTTCCACAAAATTCCGGTACCATTTTCCCGATTTTGGAGGGACGAGAGGCTTAGTCGGCTCGGAGTGGAATCGAGCTAGCACCATGCTGGTAATGACGGGAATGCTAAGTCATAGTGAATCAATATTAGAGCTTAAATTATCCTTTGCACTTTTGACATATATGGCTTCCAGACGTTTTTACTATCTCTTTGCATTTTTTCTCGACCCGCCCTTCTCTTATTTATGGGGAATCTATTTCGTATCTAAGGTTCCTTGTCATTTCTGAAACACATTAGGCATCTAAGGAAGAGAAGCAATACGTTCGTCCGTTTACGTAGGAATTCAATCTATTTGTATTGGCAGGTGCACTTGTAATATGATATGTGTGGTAGCAAATCAGCTCTCACTAACACTAAATCAGCTCACTGTAGAGAGGTGGTATCGACGTCACTAGTAGCACTGGTCATTGATCGCTCGTCGCTCTTAATTAAGTTAATAGTTGCTTAAGGGAGTAGGAAGGGAGCGGCTATTTCCTTCAGATCGTTTTTTAACTCTAGCTTGCACATTTCTGATTTTTTCTTAGCAGATAGATTCAGAACAATGGCAAATTGAGAACGTACAGATGACTTTGTCTTCCTTTATTCACAACGATCACAACATATCATGGCTAAGTTCGGGGTGCTGCACATGATATAGTTATGTATGTATATTCCCACATTTGATACCACGAAGTCGTACTGTCACGAGATGACGAAGCCGGTTAAGGGAGCGGTAACCTTTCATTTGATGAGCGGAGTTGGCACGAGCTACATAACATTCCCATTATCTGTATTCATATGAGGCTGATTCAGTGCTGTTCACCTCGAACGATTTTTGATAAAGAAACAGACAGGCTTATGGGATTTTAACTTTGATAGATATAAGCTAACTACTAAATTGTGTGGTTGCGTTAACAGTTTTAGTGATTAAAATAGATTTTGCTTGGCAATTAAGCATTCTATATGAAACGCATGTATAATACGTATATATACATATATGTATATACATATAGGGGAGGGTAGCGCAGTGGTAGTAATGCTGATCGTTACGAGTACGGTGCTGGTTGGATTCCTCTCCTGGGAT